AAAAATATCAAAGTAAGGCTTACCTAGAGGCCAAGATTTAAAAAACAGTATTCGAGTATATTTTTGACGTAGTTCGAGATGCGTATCAATCAAAAATATATTCGCCCTAAATATTTTAATAATATTATACACTTGTTATATTTCAACTTTAAAACGGAAAGGAAAATACACAAAGTGACAGTATCTACAGATGGGAAAAAATGGCCCTTATACTCCATAACTAAAATAAATATTTTCATTGTAATGCGATTGAGGCTTGCTTGAATCTAATCACTGCAAAATAAACATGGCAATGAAAAGAAACAAAAAGGTACAAGACCGATATTTTCTATCTATGATTATTATTGTGTGCTTATATAAGGGTATTACGTTTTGTTGAATATTTTTGACTTTTTCAACAAATCCTATGAGCAACTTAGGATATACAATCCTTTTTTTTATATTTGACTCAATTTTACCCTTTAGATGAAACTTTAAACTCCATTATCTTTACCAACATCATCATTATTTTCGGAAGCTAGTATGGGGTTCCATTTTTTGAACTCTCTGATATTTTGTGAAAGTAGAGGAACAATTATGTTGACCTCATCCCCCAAAACTTTGGCATTCCCTAAACGTTGTATATTACCAATCAAAAATGCAGAAAAGCCAAGCAAGGAAGCAACCACATGGATGATTGAAGAAAACATTGCATTTGTCCAGAATGGGCGTTTGGCAAGGCTTTTAGCTATGAAACCGAAATCTGGTTCGGTTTCAATATTTAACCATTTACTATCAAAATTCGTCGTGAATGAATGAGATGCACCATTGACGAACCCAAGGATCCCACCCAAACCTACCGTCTGAAGTAATTTAGATACCCACAAATTAAACCAATTAGGAATGAATGAAAAGAAGGTTTGAGTGTTTCTACCAAAGAAGTTTCTAATCTCCTCATTCCAAGTGTTGGATGTAGGTGTCCCTTCATTACCGGCGAAGGTAACCCCTGATTTCACGATGTAGAGCCGTTGAAGCAGCTCAGCCGTGCGATTTTCTTGTGCCGACATCGCCTGCATCATAGAGTAGGCATTGATGATCACGATAACGAATGAAACTACCGATATGATCCGAAACACCTTCATCTGCTTCCGAAGTTTTAAAACGTGGCTCTGCAGAAGGTTCACGACCTCCTTGGTGACCTCAAGATCCTCCTGCGTGAAGTTCGCCACCCGAAGTGTGGGATTCACCACACTACCCGCGAAGTTAGAGTTGTAGCCATCCCACTTCGCGAGTAAATTAAGCCGCGCCCCGACTCCATAGTGGTCGGAAATTGGATACAACCCCGCCGGATTGTTATCCTTCACGACCTCTTTGTTCGCCCTGTTCAGGTGAGGCGTCTGAGAACTCTCAATCCCAGCGCCTAGACCGCGAAGACGATTATAAAAAACTCGCATCCACCCCCCAAGGAAGTTGCTCGTCGAGCGTCGGCGCACCTCATTCGCGGTAAAGACAATCACCCCATTCGGAACCCTCACACCCTCGTGCTCTTGATAAAACGGAAATCCCTCGGCGGCGTCCGGGCAATCCTCAAAAGACGCCATTTGAAACGTGTTGGAAGAATAAAAAATATGATCAATCTGGGACGGAATATCGGCCTCCTGATTTAGAAGTTTGAAATAGGATGTGCTGGATGAGTTAAATGCATTTCGGTAGGAGTAGGTGTAGAGGCTGTGGATGGGTTCAATCAAAAGGGGCTTTTTGGCCCTATTCACACACCCCTTCTCAAAGTCGACCGGCAAGGGAAGCACCGACTGCATTTTGTAGCCTTTATCCCGAAGAAGAATAAGCATCATGCGAATCTCAAGCGAGTCCTGGGAGGAGTTGAAATCGCCCCCTATGATGAGGTAGTTCCGGGGGCTAGAGGTGTTAATGATGTAGTTCGCCAGTGATATCGTTTGGCTAGTACGGAACAGCAGATAACGCTCATCCATGCGATTTGGAAGCTCACGTGTTTTTTGATAGGCGGCCACAAGATGAGTGATGTAAAAGATAACCGGTTGATGTCGTACCTCACCATTATTTCTGTTTGGGGTTGAGAGAGGTACATTTACCACCACTCGAGCGACTCCTTTGTTTGCGAAGAAATCCCCATGGAGAAGCATCTCCGGAAACCCTTGAAGTGGATATACATAGGAAAAGGCCGATAAAATGGGATATCGAGAGATCACAGCGCAACCACAGCCATAAAAGCCGGTCGTAAAACGTGAATAGTGGTAGCGCTCTCGTATTTCAGGCGAGAGTTGTTGCTTAATAAGCTCTAAATCCTTTGAATCAAATTGCTCTTGGAGAAGAATAACGTCGTAATTCTCAATTTTGGAAGCAAAATGCATCATACGCTCAGTTTTCATCTTCGAATTAAAGATTCCCCACAAGTTAAATGTGAGCACCCGCATGCTGGCTAAACTTTCTGACATTTTTAGCGGAAACCTTTTCTATTTATATTAAAAACTTGCTCTAATTTTCTAAACCTATAATTACATTAGTTGGGTGAAAAAAACGCAACTTTGGAGAAAGAGAAAAATAACGAGAGAATAAAAGGTTTCAACTTCAACTCAAATCACTGTCAGTAACTATCAACTGTCGTTTAAACGCTAAAAAAAAATCCACAAGGGTTTAAGAAATTTTGATATGTCAGTCAAAAGCAAAGCAATGGAACTTATCAAGAATCCACTCAGTATATAAATCTGTTATTCCTAATAGATACTAGCGATATAGAATACTCCCTTCATTTGTTAATATATTTATATATATATATATAATATCTACAAAATACGTCAACGAAAAGTGCGCTGATCTCCCACTAATGGTACCATTTTCCACAACTTTGATTTGTCCTTTGTATTCCTTTCTAGCCGGACTTTCCTTTTTCTTATCCTTACGCGTTGGCAACCTGATCCGGTATTCTTGGCATCCACGGTGCGATACGATTAAGCGGATATGAGCTACGAACATGGAGCTCAGGACGGCGCATATGCACACGGGGCTGCAAAAAGCGCCGCGCCTCAAGCGGGATCTCCAAAGGCACTCGAACCACCACCTGCTGCTGCTGCTTTGCCAGCAATTCCACCGTCTCCTTCAGCCATTTCCGGTCCAACTTCGCCGTGTAGTGGAGATGCTCCTGAATCGCACGCTGGTGGGCCTGTCCGGACTGAATTCGTTCGTGAATCATATAATGCAGCTCGCTTGCCTGCTCCGGGCTGACCTCGCCGACCTTTTGGGCCGGATTGCCTGCCCAAAGCTCGCCGGCATAAACCCGCCCGTCCTTCCCGACCGCCGCCCCGGGGGCAACGATGGCGTGATTCTCCACCACCGCGCCGACGGAGATGCTCGCGCCGGCCCCGATGTAAACGTGGTCGTGGATCTCGCAGCAGTCGAGGCTGGCGCCGGCCCCAACAAACACCCCTTGACCGATCCGCACCTGCCCCATCAGCGTCGCGCGGTCCATCACGACGCTGTGGTCGCCCAGCACCGTCGCCTCCTTGACGTGGTAGTTGCGAATAACGGCGTGGTAAAAAACACAGCAGTCGTGGCCGAGGACGATGTTCCCGCAGAGATGCGCACTCGGCGCGAGAAACCCCGCGTCCTGCGTCCACGGCAGCATCCCGCGATAGACCCGGATGTTTTGGTGTCGCATCACGGGGTACATGTGTTGCCGCTTGTGCATGTAGTGCGCGATAATCCCAAGCCGGCAGCCGACGTCCTTGATCATGAAGCCCAGGTAGGGCAAAACCCCAGGGACCACCGTCGCGGTATTCGGCATGCCGCACCCCCCGAGGCCTCCTTCGGCTGTCCTTCTCGGCGTTCGCTTTGGCCGCCCGTTTGCGCTTGTCGGCAATGGTCGGCTGTTTAGGGTCTGAAAAGGATCCAAAGATGGGAACGATCGGAAAGTTCGCGGTTTTTCCCCTTTGGCGTGTGGCGTTATCGAGTCTCGTGTCCACGGTAATGAATGTGCCAGAGAACGGACAACGGATAAGACTATTTAAGGTATAATATAGACAATGCGGAGTTGAAATACAATGCTTTCATATACATAACCTAATAGATAAATAGCTTTGGAACATGGATAAGAAGGGGAAAAAAAAATAAAGATTAAAATTGCTCAGCATTCAAGGTGTTGCATCCTTCCTTTATCTTCTCTGTGGGAAAGAAAGTATTACAGTTGTTTATAATTCATCACGAATTTCGTGCTTTCACTGTAAGTTAATGTCAAAAATAATAACAAGAATTGACTACAATGTGTTATTACTACCTGTATTTACTACCATCACATTTATACTGTTTTTTTACCCCTTCTCAACATATTGAAAAAACATGAAAAGAAAATGTGTAGTAAAAAAGGTAATGTTTCCCTGAAAAAGAAAAAGAACCGTTAGCTCCAATATCAATGTGTTTGGATAAATAAAACAGTGAAAGCATCTTATTATGCGTAAATCAAACCTTTTCGACACTTATCCAAGTTACAACATTCACTTTAAAATTTTAACTATAAGTTTCGTGATAAAATTTTTGAAATAATATCTAGAAAAAACTAATAACTACAATAGTTCAGCTTAAATGAGGATTTCATTGCACAACCGAATCCTAGTTATCATCTGTACTGATCAATTAAAATTCGCAAAACCTTATTTCTAAACAAAAAATTTCAAAAGATACATATATAAATATATATACACACATTAAAATTATATAGAAGACAGATCAACTCAGATAAGCCAAGACGATATAAGTCATTACAAATGCTGCCAACATGTGGACGAAAAAATTAGACTCTTCACACAGAGTCTTTGTGCAGAATGCAGTATTAATTATCAAAAAATTCAATATATTTTAAAAAGATAATGATCATAGGGTAATAGGAGCCAATATAACACCAGTACATGGCAAATAATACTAATATTAATGTGTAACCTTCTTACTGCTTCATGTAAATAGCCGTGTAACAATGAAATTAGTAAAATGTAATAAAATTGAAATATTTCTATCATTCAATAGATTGATTAGGTCACCTTGGAATTTCAAGATACAGCATTAAAAGTTTTCATCCCATAGAATGCTTGCCTTTTTTATTTAAACTTGAAAGAGAATAATCTGATGGTTAACAATGAGAGTGATTACTATTTAATAGTAATATTAGTATTTTGCCCCTTCCATATTTCTTATATCTGTTTAGTCCTCTTTTTCAAAGTATTTTGTTGAGAAAACACAGCTGTTTCTATTTTATTTTGTTGTTACTCACTTCAGTAAGAATTAGTAAATCCAATAGAATGTATTTGCTAGAGAGCCTAAAGAGTAAGAAGCTTTTGTGTTTATTAAGAACAAAGTAATGTAGAACTATGCTCCTGAAGCCAGTGAAATAAAATAAAAAATAATAATGTTTATATAACGCCAATGGTTAAGTTTCCCCCTACTAGAAGCAGACGTGAGAATGTTAAAAACTCGTGCATAACACGATAATATATTTTGTTTACCTCGTTCCCATTTACCCTGTCATACATCCTGAAAATCTTCAGGCGCGATGTTGGTTATAAAAAAGCAAGTGAAACCTTGCGCGAAACTCTTCCCATCTAAAGAGTACAGAGTCAAGGAAAAGGAAAAAACGAAAACACTTATTATCACAATACAAGAATGAAACCCCATTGATCTAAATACAAATATGGGAAAAATAGCCTAAAGTCATACAGATTCTTTCGTTATCGTGTGTATTTCTTTAAAAATGATCTATGAATTAATTAACCCAGAATTGTGCTTTGTTTTCATCCAGATTCATTTAGCTAATTACAAAAAAAAAAAAGTAAAAAAATCAATAAAATTAATTCGAGACGTCACAAAAAAGATTTTTTTCGAAAAATAATGTTGAAAAAAAAGAGTGAAATGATGACAAGATTCTTTGAATCAAAAATGAAAAAGGATAATCAAAGAAGATACCCTAAAGTCTTTTGCATAATCGCGTCTAGAACATACGCTAATGAGGCAGACCTAGTGTGATTATATATATATAGTGATATTTATACTTATTTATTTAGAATTAAATTTAATTCAATGGTTAACAAAAAAAAAGTAATGAAAATGAAAAGTAGAAAGTAAAAATCTTTTTGTTGTAAAGCACCTGCGTTTCTTCCCTTATGGAATAACTTTTCCACAACAAAGAGAAAAAAAAATTTCTACATTTCAGATGCTTAAAAAAATATTTAAGAAAGCAAATGCAATATTTTTTTAAAAAATTGATCCTTATGTTGGGAATAACTTAGTACTAATACGAATATGCATATGTGAAGATTAAAGGAATCCATTCACGTAAGCAGTATCAAAAGCAGATTTTCCTTCCTATGATCTTACATTGCCCTTACGAAAAAGGTGCGGACACATACACGCAAAATAAAAAAAAGAAAATAAACCTCAACATTTTACGAACAAAACCACAATGTTCATAAATCGATATTTTTTATCATTGCTCATTCTTTTAAGTGTAACATCAGTACAACTGAGCATGGCATCCTTCCTTAGACAGTTTTCGGTGCACAGTACGCTTGGGTTCCGAATTACTTTCTCGTGTATAGTGTATATAGAGCGTTTCATCATTAGAACACATAAATGACTTTTTTTTTCAGAGATCGCAAGTCCTTAACACGGGAAGATAATTTAGTGGGCTTCTGTCCTTCAATTCACTACAATTCTGCAGTGAAACCTTTGTCAGATGAACGCAATTCACGATCCAATCAATGGAAGTAATCCGTGTGTTGGAGGCACTGAAAACGCTTAGATTAGAAAGCTGACCCAGCGAGCTTAAATCGCTAAGAAGACGACAGTTGTCTAGGATAACCCGCCAAAGTTTAGAACACTTTGCAGAAATACACGTTATATGACCGTCCATCACCTTTGTCGCATTCAGGTTCAGTTGCTCGAGGGAAAGCAAGGACGCGATAGGTGAGAAATCCTGAAGAAACAAATTCATCGATAAATGCAAAACCTTAATCTGGCTGCACTGATGAATCCAGTTCAGCGCCCTTAGCGAGTCGTTATTCGAGATCCGGAGCGTCTTGAGAAAGCGCAGATGCCCAATAGGGCCCCATCCCACGTCGTGGTTCCACCACCGCAGCTGCAGCTCCTCCAGGTTAATGCACTGTGCCAGAAATCCCAGGTCACTCTCGGGGTGGGGGTCGTCCAGGATGAGGCGTTTTAAGAAGGGCAAACTCAGGGCCCCGTCCTGCCCATGCGGGCCCCACCACAGCGCGGGCAGAGACTGCAGAACCAGCTGTTTGAGCTCTCCCTGACAGCACAGCCAGTTGAGGTGGGTGAGGGGAAGACGGGTAAGGGAGATGGAGAGGATGTGAGGATGGTGCCGGAGAAAGCGAAGGTCGGCCAACCCCGCACAGTTCATCACCCGAACCACCTCCAGCTGCCCTTGGACCGTCTCCCCAATCTCAGAGGCGGAGAGGGGCGCGTCGTCCTCCCCGGGCACAAGCGAGGTGATGGCCAGCTCGTTCAAGTCGAGCTCCCAGAGATTCGAAAGGTGCTGAATCACCGCGAGATCACGGAGCTTCGGGCAGGAATAGACGCGAAGGACCTTGAGTTCGGTACAGGAGCGGAGTCCACTTAAGGACTCCAGCTGATCGAGACTATTGAGGCTGATCGTCACGAGACGGGTGAAGGGCAAGAGCTCTTTCAGATCTCGACTCATCCTTAAGCAACTATCAAGCACCACGTGACCTAGAAACGACTTGTCGGCCAGTGATAGACATTCGATTCCACAACGCTCCAACTTGAACATGGACAATGGCGGGGCTTCGATGTAGGTCGCCAGAAAAAGTTGGCTATTGATATCATCTATATTGAAAGGAATCGAAACTAAGGTGACGGCAAGAGGTAGAACTTGAAAGGATCCCTCGTAAAACATGGGCCGTTGACACCACCATTTTGCAGCCTTGAGACGATCTATCGCGGAGGTGTTCGTGCACGTCGCAAGGCGCATAAGTTTCGCTGCATGGGAAATGGAGCTTTTTAGGCTGCTAGTATTACTGCCAGAATCGCTGCCACTGGCGCTGGGATTGTTGTCGTCATGTACGAACCTTGTGAAGAACTGATCCTTGCTCAAAAAGGTAATTCGTAGACAAAATGAATCAGCAGCGCTACCCGTATTAGTCAGCTCAACAGCAAGGCGGGCGTCGGGATGTGATGCAGTAAGTGCCTTAGGGTTTGATCGCGAGTATGAAACCACAATATAAAAGCTATACGGGACGGACATCATGCCTTATTTCCTCCTTCCTTGTTGTATAGATATATCTATATAGCTTTATGAAAACACGAAAAATGTAATAGAAAGAATAGTTTTAATGAAAATGAATATTTAATATATAGGTAATGATATAAACACAAACTCTTTTTAAATGTGTGGATCTGGGTTCCTTTTTTTAACTGATTTCTCTTATGCAAATGTGTATTCTTAAATAAATAAAAATAGATATATAAGCTTATTTATTATATCCCTTATATTTCTAATAGATGAATATGAGGTATGGTTTTTATTTTAAAGGTAGAAAGTAAATTAGAAAAATCCTTTAAAGCCTTTTTTGTTATTTGATCATAATTCAATAAAAAAGAAAATATATATACATATATATACATATAAATATATATAAATATATATGTATGTATATATATATATTTCAAATAAAAAAAAGCTAATTAGTCCTAGAAATATTTAAAGTCTTGAAATAAAGAGTAAAGTGGGTAGTGCTTATCATATAGTAGTAAAAGAAAGGGAAAATCAAAGGGTTCTTCTTATTAATATTGTTAAGGCAATTGACAATAGTAAATCACAAACAAGTACGCACATTCTTAGCTACCACTAAAGGGGGATGGGGCTTTTGGAATGGCACTATTCTTTGATTTTTTCCATTTTTTAAGTAATGTACGGACAGGTAACACCAGCTTCGATAATATGGGAGCAGTTAGCATACAAAATGCTACTTCATACGAGAAGAGAGAAAATGTAAAAATGTTGACTATGAGGTAGTTCAGAAAAAGCCGCAGAGATAAGTGATACGTATTAAACACTACTGGACCCATATCCAGATAAGATTCCACGACACCTTTCAATCCGATCCCACTAAGCCAAACTCCAACCTCCCCAATGCAGAATTGGTTGGTGTGTAAACAATACGTTAGAAAAAGCGTGAAGGATTCACCCAATATATATAGATAGACCGCAAAGCTTAGGCCTTTTTCAGCAACAACGCGATTAAAACGGCCTATTGTTTTTTGTGGTTTGGCATACTGTCCGTTTGAAGGAATATGAAAAGTGTTATGAACGTTACTGTTTGCACTAGGCTTTTCAGTATTGCAGTGGGATTTGCAATTAAAAGTTTCAGTACGCTGCTGCTGACGTCGTATAGGAGAATTTGATATCTTTAAATGTAGTTTTTCCTCCGTTGACTTTGACCCTGAAGTTCCTGAGAATAGTACTGCCCGTGTCTTATTTGTGAAAGAGTCGCTCGGGTGACGCCATATAGAAGAATGGTGAAAACAGCCCTTTCCATTTCGAGCAAAAGTGCTGTAGTTTCGATAAATTGGATAGAAATACATGAAGTGGTTTTCAGAAAATGAAATGTAGCTACAAAGATAAGTGTTCTTAGCCACGCATCGCCAAGACATTATTTTGTATTGGCTAATACAGGCCTCAAGGTAGTAACGTAAAGACGTGTATTACAGCAATAAGCTAATAGCATTTGAAAAAACGGAAAAAAAAAGGTAAAAGTTAACTTGATTGGGGCCTACGCGTTGATACGATTCAATGTGGCGTTTTTTTCAGGTAGATGAAAACACAAAAAAAGGAGCGAAGTTCTTATCAATAAATTTTAAGACCAACTTTTCTGTTCCTGAATTTAGATAATATAGTTGATGAACTTTCTTCCACTCAGAAACTTGTTTTTTTTTCAGAGAAAGAAGGTTGTGACTCATCCGAGATGGTTGTTTCCTCGCCGCCGCTATCATCCCCTTTGCTAAACTCATCGCTTATACTTAGGCCACCGTTGAAGGTGGGTTTGGTCATGGTTTGAATATCGGCCAAACTTGGCCCGTGTTCCTCCTCCCCGTACAACACATGGCAAATTCCGTTGAGGGTATGACGGAGCACGGGCAAACGCGGCAACGTCTCACTGAAGTACACCAATCGCCGCGATTGGCTCTCAATCGAGGAAGAAAGAAAAAAATGGGTTGATAACGATAGAAAGTATCATGAATCACGATAAAGCGAATCAGCTTACGATCAACAAAGCGTTTTTCCCGAACGCGATTGAAAACGCCGTAGCTGGTGAATTGCAACCCAATCCCGCGGATCGCAAGCACCTCCTCAACGTAAACACTGCGGTAGGCACGAATTAACTGCATGATGAAAAGAAGCCAGAAAAAAACACAAGCCATTATCTTCAGCTTACTTAAAGAGAACACTTTCAAATGGGTTTCGCTATCAAAATCGGGACTTGATTGCACGAACGTGTCATCTGCGGAGTCAGACAACAGCAGCCAGTGGAGAAGATGGAACTGCGAGGCTGAAGTGTGAACCAGACACGACAACAACAACGACAGAGACGCCGCGAGAAGGAGCATATTATTCGTACTTAGTAGCCGAAAGAACGGCGAAACCTGGTGTTCACGCCTGTACACGCGATAGCCTCGCATGGAATCGCTATAGATAATTTCGGTAAAGTTTATAACCGCACCGGTATTTGTCATCTGATTCGTGAAGATGAGTTTCTCGTTCGGCTGCAGACCTTTCCTATCATCCAATAAAGTCACCGACGGTGAAGGTCCCGCTGAGCTGCTAATTTGAGAGTGAAAGATTTGATCCACTGGAAAGGATCCTGGAGGCATCGATGGAGGTAGGGGCGACACCCGGTGGATGTCAGGGCCCACATTATTCGGTATACTCATGTTTTCAGACATCTTTTCATCGCTCAAGGAAAGGGGCTGAAAATTCATGATGGGGATTGCTTCTCGAGTTAAGGTTACGTTGAGAAAATGAAGTGAATAAACAAATGCAGTTGAACTAGTAAAAGTGAGAAACACTATGATACTAATAACTTGGCCAAGGAACACCTAATAATCCGTTCTTTATTTGTTCACTTGATAAAAAATAAAGTTTAACGATAGAAAAGAATCATAAAAGAAGGATAACCTTTTCGAAAAGAAAGGGAAATCATATACATACCTCTAACAACTTAAAAATCCACCCCCCCTCCCCTCCCATTTTTCCATTAAGTGATACTAAATGGATGGGGAAGCGATTAAAGTATAAATGAAACTTTTCATGCGCCTGACTTGTTCATGTTCAGTCTTCTTAATCGACCGCCTCAATTAAAGGGCTATGCAAGAAAGAATACAACTTCATTCCATCAACCTCACCAATCGTATCAACCAATGTGGCCTGAGAGATGGCAGCAAGGCCGGCCAGAGAACCACAAAGATGCATTAGTTGGTTTTTATTCGCAGGCGTCACGCCGGGAAACCTGGAAAAGACCCGAGCGGCGTAGATTGATAGTTCCTTTCTCTGATATTCCTCGTCCTCGTCGTTGGTGCCGACTCCCCCTGCCACCGTGAGTGAAGGATCACTTGGGTCTTTATTTTCGATCGCCACCGTTTTCTTCAGCCTTGCAAGCATCGCGGCAGAGTGCGCGGCGCTGCGCGACCACAGAATAGTGACCTGCGGGTACGCCAACAAAAGACGAGCGGTGCGCGTGTAAAGCGTTCGCATATACGCCAGGTCCGCGGTCGTGGGTGGGGAAAGGCACAAACGAACCAATCGAAAGGGCTGATGGCGGCAAAATTCGATAAGCAAAAGGGCTCGCTCGTACCGACGGCTCAAGGCCGCGAGCTGACGGTGAATTCGGCCCGATTGGAGGGACTGAGTGTAGTCGCTCACACTTTTTCGCTCCATCCCGTACTGCGGGGAGAGGACATAATCGGCGGTGGCCAACGTCAGCGGAACGAGGTCAAGGTTCTGCTTGTACAGGAAGTACGGCAGCATGGAGCGAAACTCACGCTCGTCGAAGAGTACAAAGGGGACACCCCGGGTGATTGCCTCCGTGGGGGCGTCGGTGTAGGGATATGCGTTGGAGGCAAGCGATTGCGGGCGATTCGAAGCGGATAAACGTCGGGAGCAGGTTGTGAGGTTCCCGCTTTCCAGAATGGCTTCCGTATCACGGACCGAGGCTCGATCGGCGAGCATGATGCTGGTGAAAGTTGCTTTGACATGTGCTAGTGCTTTAAATGCCAACTTTTCCTTCTCAACGGTTGCTTTGCTTTCATTCTCAGAAACGATGGTTGATATAAGCTGCACCTTCAGTGCACGGAGTAAGTCGTCCTCTAGCTCATCGTGCACCGTCTCCAAGGTTCGAAGAAATGCGATGTGGTGCCGGACTAGAATAATCCGGCGTATCGCAATGGAAATGTCAGAGGTCGAGGTGTTGTTTGCGGCGTTGCCGCTCTCTTGATTTCTATTCTCATAGGATGAGGACACACAAAGGCTTGGCGGCGGAACCGAGGTGCCATAATCGAACGTTGACTCCCCGCGTAGCAGTGCGAGGAGCTCCCCGGCTCGTAGATCGTTTCCGTCGGAAACTACAACCCGCGGCAGGTCGCTAGTATTATTTGTTTGACTATCCTCAGTTACGGGAGTCAACACCACTCGGCCTAATCGAGCGGCTTCAAGGCGAAACTGGACAAATCTCGATGCAGACGAGCTTGGATCCACCGTGTTGGTGGAGTCGGTTGTCGAATGGCTATTCACGACACCAGGCGGGGCGCTGGGATCGTCAACCTCAGCTTGGCTCATCAAAATCGGGTGTAGCGAACCCAGCGGAGAGGCGTCCTCCTCCCTCTTAACGCCATTGGATAAAAAGGAAGATTCCCCACTTGTCTTATCCTTTCCATCTTCGCTAACGCTATCCTCGTCGGAGCTGATCAGAATACAATCTCTGTAGTTGTCGCCCATCTCCTCGCCCGCGACTACGGTCTCCACCCAATCCGACAATTCCCGAGGAGACAAGGCCTCGCCATCGTTAGACGGCCTCGGTTCTTCATGCTGTATGGAAACACCGTAAAAGGCCTGATAGCGGCGGAGAAAATGATTCAACTGCAGCTTCAGGAAGTCCTCACGGGTGTACATAAATCGCTCCACAAGCCGTGTGACCTCGCGGTAGCCAAACGCCACCACCAAGATGCCGGGGGCGTGTGGGGGAGATCGCGAAAGACCGTTGTCTAGCCTTTGCATGGGACTTTTCCCGAGATTCGGCGTCCCTGTGGGTTTACGGAGGGCGCCTCGCACCCAACTCAGGGTCATTCGGTGGGCCACCTCGAGCTCCGGATCCGGATCCTCCGCATTTGGAAGGAGAGACATGATAGATGAAGAAGCCAAATCAGAAGGCGGTGGGGAGGGGGGAGGAGTCGGGGACTTCGGCTCCACAATCACCACCTCATCCTCTTCACTAACCGACTCCACTTTGTTGGCGGATGGGATAGACCACGTTGGGTGAGATTTCGCCGTCTCCAGATCTGAAGGCGAGGCGGTGGGGTGGACCACAACTTTGCCAACCCGCTCTGTGGCGACGGTGACTACATCGTTAAAGGAGGACGACATAGTCCAGGACGCCGTTGGAAAGGCGGCGGCCGCCTGCTCAACGCGCGGTTTGTACGCAAAGCCACCTCGCCGACGCCGTCTTAACACAGACAGCAAAACAAAGAAAAAGTCATAGCGGGAGCACGACCAAAGTCGACGCCGCAGGTGGCGTAGGTCTAGGAAACTCTCCACCAGACTTCCAAAGGGCCAGTCCGGTGCGTTGGACTGCAGACTCATTTGCAGATCCGCGTCGAGGTCGGTCGACTGGTTGTCAAGGCAGACTTCGTCTGAGATTCTACCAAAATTAATGTACGCCTCATCCACGGCGCTCCGCCAGGCGCCCACACCTAAATAATCGGGGGATGAATGCATTCGATCAGTCCCGTCCGCCTTATTGGCTAGGCTATGGTGCTTTGATGCGTAGCTGCTCTGATATGTTAAGTGATTATCCAAACCGCAAGTATCACCAGTGGGTGAAATTGGATCCAAACGAAGACGCACCAACGGCTGAAATTGCTTCAAATCATCCTGTAGAATGGATGAAGAAGATTCGCGCTTGTGAGCATTGGAATTTCCTTGATTCTGGTGAAGTCGCTCCTGCACCTTGCACAGCTCAGAAAGAACCTCGCGTAGTATTTTCTGCAGCAAAGCGTCCAGTATTCGTGTCGATGTGGTCACATTCACAATCATACGGTCGAGTGTAAGGGGCTTTTTCTTCGAAAGCTGCTCAAAGTGCTTTATAACGCTGAGGCGAAAGGAAGGAAAAAGTTGAATATCACCTACGTGCATCGCTTGCATAAATTTCTCCCGGCCAACGGCACGACGGCTAACGAGGTAATGAACAGTGGCAGGGTTATCACTGAGGATGACGATTTGCGGCCTATTGTTAGTCCGTGTTTCTAGACTCTCATGAGCATGGTAATTAAAGAGGTGCGTGGTATGCTCTCCACGTAGCAAAATCTCAATAAAAAAGCCTATGCTGGCTAAAGCAGACTCACCAGTAGGGAAGCCACGCAGCAATAGGCACACAACCGCAGTCGAGACAAAAATGGGGGAGAGACGCTTGTGCAAGAGATCAGCGCAAAGCATACGGCTTGTAGAAATAATTACTCCACTTTGCTGAAAGGTTGCACAACGTTCCTTAGGGGAGGCTCCTTCTCGTAGCACGTGTACCGGAAGAAAGTCTTCATCTTCTTTCAGCCCTTTCACGTCGGACAATTGGTCATTATCAAGGACTTCCTGACCACTATGTGCAGCAGACTCAGCGTTAAAGCTATTTATAAAGTATCTCAAAGAGTTGGCGAAGGAAGTCATCAAATGATATGGTAAGCGATCAGGGACTACGACGAAATAGAGATGCTTCTCATGGTTCCGGCGCTTTTTCTCCAGTATAATACGAGATGCTACGCTCTCAATGCACATCCCATTGCTTAAGACGCAGAGTTGAGTGCTAATGAAGTCGGGAAATTCCTCTACACACTTAAGTGTCACAAGTTTAGAGATAGAATCGCATCCCATTTCATCGCCTTCACTTTTTAAAACTTTTAGAAAAATAAATGTATGCTTTTCTTTTTTAGCTGATCCTTCGAAATAAGAAAGTCAATGCAGATAAAATACTTAATATGAAAGATGGGAAAGCAATACATAAGTAAAAAATTAAATAAGTAAAATACGCACAATAATGCGAAAAAGGTGCACAATTATTAAATAAACAAAAAAGATAGAGATAAAATTCTAAAAAATTACACATGTACAGACATGTATGTTCAAAGTGTAAAAAAGTATACTTTAAAAGGAAAAATAAAGAACCTTTGAAGAGAACTTCTACTCTTTCTTTTCAAAAAGGGGCTTTTTCATCTTTTAAGTTTTATAAGGAATCAACCAATCACTAGTTTCATACACACGCAGACCACCCCTTATTACTTTTGCTGTAAAAATATAAGTATGAAGCCGTAAAAAAAAGTACAAGAATACTCTGATCCTACAAAATTCCCAATTCAGCAAAAGAAATACTATTTATAATGGAGCATGTTTAGGATTTTATACGTAGGTGATATCTCTAGCCAATAATGGAACAATCTAATATTAATAATACCAGGACGCTAATTCTTATTTTTAATTACAACAAATAATACAAAACCAGGCAAACTAACAACTCCCTAAGGGTGAAGAGTATGGAAACCCATAAGAATATTTCCTAATCTGAAATACATTTCATACATTAATATTAAGTATGAAAAAAAGGGTTCCTTCTACATGAAATAATGATTAGTTATTCTAACGTGTGAAAAGCCATCTAGTAAGGATTATCTATCTCATTCTAACAATAGGTTTGCCTGTGCGATGCATTGTGGAAGAGGACTTCGTTATATGAACGACTGTTTGCACAACAGCTGACTTACGCGATGCGTGCTCAGGAACCTCATTAGTACCGCTTTTAGGCTTTGCTCTTTGAGCCACTTCTTTATGTATCGCATGGTTATTCGATGTCTTGGCATTGATTGGAGTGTTAAGACCATCACTAAAACTACTTTTAGTCGTGTTGCTCGGTAGCAACGGCCGAGCACTACGCCGCCCATCCGTCTTCAGTTCGATAGTCCTACGCCTGGAGGTCGACTTCTCCTGCGACCCTCGAAACACAAACTGCCGACGCGGGGTTGGCGGAAAGGAGGTGGAAGGGGTGGAATGGGGATGGGTGCAGCCGAGCATGGGCTTCGCCAGCGCCCCCCCCGGCCGCTTGTCCGGGCCGGGGATGTGGATCAAGGACGGCACCGCCGCCGCCTTCGGGCCACGCCGCACCGCCGCCTTGACAGCGCCGGGGCGTTCCGGCCGGGGGTGGG